GATTTTGGTGACATCATCATAGGCACTCCGTCAGTGTATCGTCTGAGAGAGACTGGAGTAGATTATTGACTCCAGTTAACAATTTTGAGAATCTACTTTCATTCCATTTCCTGCTATATCAGTTGAAAAGTTTAGTATGGGATTCTTTACTACTACAGTGCCTAAGTTGCAACTATATATATATATATAATATTCTTTTATATTAACATTTTTTTCTTGTTCCATTCGTTGACTAATGCAATCCAATGTGGACAGTTTGTGTATATGGGTAAATAGGAATTTGGAAATTACTGAAATCATCCAATACGTGTTGGGTGGACAGGGTGAAAGTATTAAAAAGTACTGTAGTTAGGTGGAGAGAGACAGGGAGAGAGAGAAAGGTTAATCACTGATACTTTGTTTATTGATTGAATGAAAACCACACACGTGCATTCGGAATGATGCAGAGTCTATACTGGAGATATAGAAAGTGGCAACAAACAACAAGGGGAAAATGGAGAGAGAATATCTGTAAGATAAATTGTGAAGTTGTGTGACTAAAATTGATATGATTATGAGTGGCAATAATTTACGCTCGACACCTTATCATCCAGTTGTTAATACTGCATCATCACTGTGTGATATTTCAAATAAACTTATCTAATATGGAATAACAGGTTTTGCGATAGACTAATGGAACAGTGGACAAAAGATCCTTGCTATCTTCTTTTTCATTCTTATTTCGGTTGTGCTTATTTTTGTCTCTAGGAGTTATGTTAACTCCAGCTGTGAGTGATATCTCATAATTTTGTAAGTTGAAGTGGTTCAATTTTTCCCCGCAAATATTCCTCCGAGTAGGTTCTGTCAAAGAAATCAGAGTGTCCGCCAATCACATTAACTTCCAATTAGCTCCACTCATTTGTTACACTGAAATGTCAATTTTATGTGATTGGGAGAATGTTCTGGTTGATGGGATAGGATGAGATAGGATTAGTTGAAAACCCGATATCTTTAGGACCTAAAGTCTATCTCATTTGTCTACCTGCTGTAGTAGCTGACTTGACCACTAAAATGTGACATTGCAGGAGTTTTAATGGTACATTCAACGGTTATATGACACGGTTGTGACTTGTTCGCCAGTGTATTTGTTGATTTGTTGTATATCTTGATATATGTCTCATTGTAATATCTGAGGCTGTAGTGTGGTCATTCAGTGATCAACATTTTGGAGGTGTTTAAACATTGAATTAATGCAGAAGATTTGTAACTCAGGTGGATGATCTTGCTTTAGTTGTGTTCTATGAGCTGGTTGATTTAATAGCGAAGCTTTCGTTGTTCTCCTTTCTAGACAACATCTTCAGCGTAGATTTCAGTATAAAATGAACTTATTTAAATTCTCCATGAATGATGTAGTTGTATCTTCTGGCAACCACTGTCGTGACTGTTGATTGATTTACGTCTCTACTTACTTGGAATTTCAGTTTTCTTGTCACGTGACCTTTTATTAGTTGGTAAATTTGATCTGTGGCAATGTATCTGTTAATCGCCGATTCATCTCTGATTATCAGGCTACTAGAAATTCTCTGGTATTTTTTATGTTTACTCCATTCGAAATTTCTACATTATTATATCAAATAAAATTGATGTCTGTAATTATCTACATGCATTGATATGAAAGAATACACCATATCATGCCTTTTTGCAGTCAATTTGTGTTCTTCGATTCGGATTTGAAGAGGCCGCCCACTTTGACCAATGCAGTGTTTATCGCAGTTCATACAATTTACTTTGTAAATGGTATTGATCTTATCTTCCTTTTTCTATTGAATCTTTCGGTCTGCACGGTATTGAATGAAGTGATTGTGTTGGCTGGCTGGCTTGTGTGCTATATTTATTTCAAACGGTCTTAATATTCTAGCCGTTATTTTAGAGATGATTATATTATTATTATTATTTCCTTTAATTCCTAGAGGAACATAGGGCTTCAGCCATGCGTCTCCATTGCGTTCGGTTCTCTGCTGTAGTTTTCACCTGGCTCCAAGTCTGCCCACACGCTTTCAATTCCTCTTCACATGATCTCCTCCAGGTCACCCTTGGACGACCAACTCGTCGCTTCCCTTTCGGGTTCCACTCGAGGGCTTGTCTAGTGATGTCACTTGCTGGTTTCCTCAGAGTGTGTCCAATCCATCTCCATTTCTTCCTGCCTATTTGTTTCACGATCGGTTCCTGGTTGGTTCGCTCCCAGAGATCTTTGTTGCTGATCCTCTCCGGCCATTTGATCTTGAGTATTGAGCGAAGGCATTTGTTAATGAAGGTCTGTGGCTTGTTTGAGCTGCTCTTTGTGACACGCCAAGTCTCTGATCCGTATAGTAGTACTGACTTCACATTGGAGTTGAAAATACGGATCTTATTTTTGACGCTGAATGCTGTTGACCTCCACATAGACTTGAGAGAAATGAAAACTTGTCTTGCTTTTCCGATTCTGGCTTTGATATCCTCGTCAGTTCCTCCTGTAGTTGAGACGATGCTTCCCAGGTAGGTGAAAGAAGTTGTTTCCTTCAGGTTCCTCCCATTTATGCTGATTGTTGTCGGTTGTTGCTGTTGATGTTGGCCAGGAATCTTCATTACCTCTGTTTTGTCTATGTTCACTTGAAGTCCTATCTTTGCTGCTTCTTCTGCCAATTTGTTGCTTTTCACTTGCATATCTTCCAGTTTGTGGGAAATCAGACATATATCATCGGCGAAATCCAAATCCTCCAAGGCTTTTGTGTCGGTCCATTTTATGCCTGTTCCCTCGTTGGTTGCCGTTGTCTGCCGCATTATCCAATCAACTGCAATCAGGAAGATCATTGGTGACAGTAGACAGCCTTGTCTCACTCCCGTCCTCACTTCGAAGGATTCCGTGAGCCTCCCGTTGTGGATTACTTGGCATGCAGCGTTGTCATACAGCTGTTGGATGAGATGTATAATTGTCGGCGGCACCCCGTAGTAGCGAAGTAGTTGCCAAATCATCTCTCGATCGACGCTGTCGAAGGCTTTCTCAAAATCGATGAAGTTGAGATAGAGAGGTGACTGCCATTCCAAACTTTGTTCAATGATAATCCGTAGGGTGGCGATTTGGTCAATGCATGACTTGTTCCCCCTGAATCCGGCCTGTTCCGGACGAAGTTTTTCATCTAGGGCTTGTTTAATTCTCTCCAGGATGATGCGACATAGTATCTTGCTTGGAATGGACAGAAGCATAATTCCACGCCAGTTTTTACATTGACTCAAATTTTAGAGATGATAGATTGGATTATCTGGTGATCTTTGATGTGATGGTTTCTTGTTGGTATTACGACTTGAGTTAGAACACGTTTTGATGAGATTGTGTGGGTAGTCATTCTGCTTGAAGACAGCTAGTAGGTATTTTTCTTCCATTCTCTTCAGCATTGGAGTGCTACCAGTATGTTTGGGCTCTTTTAAACAACAATGTCTGCACACAGTTTCTTTTGTGTGCAATCGAGTTATTACCACCAAAGTTGAACATTTCGTCTGTGTGCGTTGATTTTCTATGTGCTTGTGTTTATAAATTTCCTGTGTTAGTTCTCTTGACTGAGTCATCTAAGAATGGCATTCTGTTGTCGTCTAATTCTTCTTCTTCTGTTGTGAATCTAATGTATTCTTCAAATATGTTGTTTATTAGTTTACGAGTGTATTCCAAATCACATTTCTTGTAATTATTACGAATATGTCATCAAAATAACATACCCAGTATTGATAAAGGTTTTTTGTATTTCCCAATGAATGAAAAACAAAAGGATATTGTTTCTACTGACGTTTCGCTATTTAATGCTAATTGCTTTATCAAACTATTATTAAACCAGGATTTACAAAATCTCAGCTTATAAATGACAACCTAATCATCGTTCCTTAGTATGGGATCATTTTTGCGTTGTCAAGTTGCCCAATTGGTAAAGATAACAAAACCAGGTGTAGATTGTTGGATTTGATAAGTGTGTAAAACTATAAAAGCAGCGCGTGTTTATGTAATGAAATTGCTTATCACATTCGTGTTGATTTTGTCATTTCATGGTGGGCTGTGTGTGGTGTAACCAGGTCAAATTCTGTTTTTGTCCACCATTCCTATTCAGACAATTTGGATTCCATTTGATATGAAGTACTGGCTTTTGATATTAGACGTTCTCTGTGATTTCTGAAGTTTTTCTGGATTATTTCAATATTGTCAAAATCAATTTTGTGGTCTGATTCTATAGCGCGTAGACGACCTATGTCTAATGATTTTTCAAGCCTTTTTAGTTCAACTGGATTTCTCGGTGGTCGAACAGAGACGGCTCTACGGTGTTCATTTCTTCTGATTTTGATTTCTCGAGATGTTTGTCCGAGGTATATCGCATCACATTCCAAGCAAGCATTTTTATTTTATAGACACAATTAGGTAAAGAATCTTTAGGTATTTGATCTTTTATTCGAACCCCTACGCAGATTTTTGGTTTAGTTATGGTTAGGGCTATTAAAGCATTTAAACGTTTCTTGAATAATCTCGGTCTGGTCGTCAGTCTCCTCCATATGTGCCGAAGTGTACTTGAAGCGATTTTGGTTGTTTTGTTGATAATAGGACTACTACTACTACGTAGGACGTTGATGTCAGTTCACATCTGTGTGACCTACTTTACTTGCGGTTGTTATATAAAAGATATTTAAAGTGTAAATTGCATTAAGACTAGACCTTCGTGTTTTTATTCGTATCAATCGTTCATGTTAAGTAGAACTGTGTTGTGAATAATAATCAGGTGATGTTAGGTTAGGTAAGACAAGTATGTTGATGAGCGTTCATCATTTGAAATGACTAGAAGACACGATATGTGCGCATATGGTTGATGTCAATCCATAATAAATGTGATGACTTTATTTTGCTTTAATGAATACTATGTCGGAGTTGACAGTTACTTACTTGGTAATAATAATGATATATATATACATATATATTAAACGTTTTCATAATTTTTTTTTCTCTATAGAAATCGCTGTAGATCTTCAAAACAAGCCCTTAACGAAACCGTAGAAAGCCAAATGAAAAGTCGTCAACGTTTGGTTGATATGGCTCTAGCGAATCGTGACCTTCGAGATGAAATATGGCACTATGCATATTTGAATTCATCTCTGTCTTCAGAAATTGAAGGACTTCGGAGTGAACTTGCGAGTTTACACAATGAAGAACACTGTAGTAATGAAAACGCCAATGCTGTGAATTCGAAGCCGAGGAAATTTCATGCATTGGATTCAGGTTTGTTATAATATATTGTGTATATATTTGGGGGGTTACACGTAGTCATATAATTGTGATTTTAACTCTACACACACACACACATGCACGCACACTCTAATGACGACTGTATTGTTGTATTGAATGCCGAGAAGGAGGTTGAGGTGGGGGAGGAGGAGTGATAAACTCTGATAATTGGTGTGTGTCGTGTTGATTATTCCTGAAACTGATCGTAGGGATAATGAAAAGGGGAATTAGAAAATTATGAATTCCACTTTGGTGAGGAGTTCACATCACACTTACAACTAGTCGATGAAGCGATTGCCCATGGTTGACTGAATTTCAGTCATTTGCTCGATTTAACCACTGTGATGGAAGTAGGTAGGAATAATGTTATTGTCGTCGTTCATAAAAGATTGTTTTTCTCTTATTATACACTTGTAAAATAACAAAAGAGTAGGTAGAATTTATAAAATATCATGCATATTGTCGAGTATATGCTGTAGAGTTTTGATCACATAACAGTTTCACATTTATGACTTGAATATAGGCGAATGCGAACGCACGAGTGACCTTGAGCCGGCCAATCAGGAAATATATTAGGTTTTGCATATAAATATGATGTTTATTTACAAGAGAACTACATGAAAATACATTAGGCAGGATATTTTTTCCTGACATGATTCAAAAATACCTCCAAATTATGATGAAGAGTATCAGTTTTCAGGCTAGATCAGTCTGTATGCATGTATTCACCAAGGTGATTGAAGACGAGTTCTTATTGTGACCCATTTATCCCTCTTATGCTATTTTGTTAGTCTTCTTCCTCAAAAGACCTCGATTGATTGGTTGGAGGGTTTCATGCTGAGCTGACATCAGTTAGAGAACCATTGGAAAAGCTGGGAGTACTGGACAGTTGTTTCTTCCTAATCTGGGACTCTTCAGCAGTATGCAGCCACTACCACGGTTCGAACCCATGACTTTCTGGTTATAAGGCCAGCGAGCTCGTAGACCATTAAGTCACTGGGACCCGATCCAATGACCAGCCCATGAATTCTAACATCTACCGATTCATGACATAGCGCGACCACTTCGCAATGTCTTCTTCGATGGGTTATTGCCTCACCTTCAACCTGCTGCGCCCTACTGGTCACGGCTTCTCACTAGAACCACAGGTTAACTGCCTAACAGGGCCAGTCGCTAGTCAGCATCAGATTAATTAATTTTCAAGTATTGGTTTTGTAGGGAGGTATTGTCTTTGATTAGTTGGAGGGTTTCATCGATTGAATCAGTATGGGCTCCACTAAGAGGATCGATAACTATTAACTAGGCAAATGTGGATAATAAAGATAAATAATACTAACCCCAATCTTAATTGTAACCCTGATTCCAACACTGACCCTAAGCGTGACTGTAGCACTAACGAGCTATGCAGAAATTGTCCAAACAGTACTTAAAATCGAGATCGGGATGAAATTTGCACCTCTATCCCTGCACAGCGTTCAAAGTGACACTGTGTTGTGAATAGTAGGTCTCGTTATCGAACGAGTAGTATGCATTCAAGGCTACTGGTGCTTCCGCACTCCTGACCCACCGTTATACTTTGGTAATTTGGTCTGATTATATTCTTCATATGCATATTGCTGCATTGTGTCACAACACCGTCCTTCCTTGTCCATTCTGTCTTTCTTTTAGATGAAATTGATAAACTTTATTTAAGAAATCAGGATCTTAATAAAGTGGAGACGAATAAAATTGAATCACAAGAAAAAGGAAAAGAAGAAGAAAATACTTCAGCCAAATTATCCCTGGGAAATGGTGGAGACTCTACAACAACCACTACTACTGGTGTTAGTACAAGTGACAGAATGGTGGGACCTTCAAGAATTGTTCCATACAATGAAGTACCGCAGCAATGTAAACCTTCGTGATAAATAAAATTTTCTTCCATCACCATCATAGATTACGTGGCAATGTTGGTGTTTTTTTAAAAATAATAGATTGATCGCCAGAAATGCCTTTCTTTCCTTAGAAACTACTATTGTGATTATTATTATTATTACTTGGTGAGTAGAAACCTTATTTTGTTATAAATCACTCCAACATACTCTCGACTATTCTCTGTGCTATTTCTTTTATCTGTTCGTTGTTTTTGCATATTTTGTGGTAAAAAAAAGATACATAGAAATTATAAATATCCCTTCTTGTTGTATCTGATTTGTGTACATTGATATTTTTTATGTGTTATGATGTGCTTGCCAATTTGACAGTTAGTATATAGTCTCATGGTGTGTAGTTGACATTCGAAGGTGATGAATACTGCTACAGATATGCAGCGCTGATGTGTGTGTTGTTCAACGTTTAGGTGAACGGCAACACATATGTGGTAAGGTGATTTAAAACAACAATTGACTGTTATTCTCTTTTCTCTAAGTTGCATGGCAATGTGTATAGAAGTCGACATAACCTATGACACATATGTAAAAAATTATATATTTGTAAAATCTCAGCGAAATTGAAATATAAGTAATTTCAACGTTTCCTGCATTTGGAAACTGGTCTGAACATCTCCAGGGAAGTTAATCAAAATTAATGTAACAAAGACATATATATATACCTTTTTTTGTCTTTAAAAGCTTTGTCGAATCATATGGATCCTGAAACAGGCATCAAAATATAATAAGCACAATTGCTGCCCGAGTGGCTGACTTGTTTCAACGTAGGACTTTGCACAGATGTGCAGTAGACCCATTTACCACTCTCCCTCCATGTAGTAAACAAAGTTAGAGAGGAGCGGTTCAAAATACAGATAATAAACAAGTGTGAGAGATAAAAAAAATGATAATATGGTAGGATGGTAGAGCTTTGTTGAATACGACAAGCCACGGAGAGTGAATGTATGTGAGCAATTGACAACGAAGATTTTGAGCCATATCATCAGTTGTCTCCAGCCATTGGTTCTTAGAATCGAGAGGACTACAGTCAGGAAGTCTACACCTCCCTATGTGGTTTAAAGTAATTGCTATGGATTTCATTGACTGGTGAAGCCATTTTTCTTTTGGTTTGACCATCACTAGTTTTCTCTTTTTTTCAAAGCTAATCCTATGTCAGCTAAAATTACCAGTCGATGAAGGCGGTGGCTAAGCTTGTGTAACTCATGTCCTTACCATCTCAACTAACAAAACTGCACGAACTGTGATCAAAATTCGACCTGAGACTTACATATATTAGTCTACTTTTGTTAAACACTAAACATTGCGTACTTTTGCATCAGATGTTTAGTGATAACGTCCGACTAAAGTTCATCGTCGTAAATAACTGAATATGAAAATTATATATGTATATGCGGTGTACAATAGTATGTGTGTGTGTGTGTATGGGAAAACAATTGTAAATCATCTATTAGCCTCTCCATTAGAAGATGTAGACAATCGGGAATTTAGATTAGGTATGATTGATTAGTGATGCGTATCCATTTTTGTTTATTAGTCAGGACTTGACGTGCATCAGCTAACATCACACCTTCAAGCTTTTGGGATTCACCCATATACGTAGACCTTTTGTAGTCAGTCTTTGTCTATACAAACCAAACCTTTTTTGTAGGACTTTGGCCCTATCAAAGTCGATCTTGTGTCTGGTTTCAGTCGAGTGTAGTGCAATTGCCGATCAGGTTCTTAGCTTTTTCAAATCTGTAGAGGATTTTGCAACCACCTTTAGACATTGTTTATGATCCTTCACCATTACACTTACCTGTCTGGAAGTTTCTGCTGAATATACAGCGTCACAATGCCGATCATTGGTCTGGTACACACGATTTTGTCGGTTGTCTTCTATTTTACCCTTAATCTTCAACAGTGACGTGTGTAAGGTGTCTTATGTCATGATTATTAAGGAATTGCTTTATTTCACCCGATGTTTCTTTGCGTTAAGGAGTCAGCACTTAACTAACCGAAGTCTCAGCAACAGGTTTCGATTCATTCTTATTTTTACTTTTAAAACATTTCTTTATAAAGGTGTTGGGGTTAACTATTTGATCCAAGAGTAGACTGAAGCAATTTTAGTTCCCGGTTGATCTCCTGCTCCTCCTAAGTACCTAGACGTTTGGCTCTGTTAATGAGATTCCTGACCACGGTTTGGTGGTAAAGGGATGCGCTGAGGTGTAGTCTAGATATCTGTCTGAATGTGTTGGCTTTCTGAAGATGTTTACCTCAAGGTTGCCATCTAGTTGTCTTTTTAATAAACACTCAGGGAAGCCAAATCATTTGCGTTGGATTCACAATAGCGAGAAGCGGGGATTCAATACATGGATTCTGTCATACTCTATACGTCAAGGAATTGAGAGGTTTAGAATGGTCGATAAAAAATCTCTCATGGAGTCACGTAGTACTTGAAGTCGTTGGTTCACTGTATGAATTCATCAGAAACTGAATTGATCCTCATCTGGCGTTACAACTTTATATAGTCTAATACAAAGATAAGCCGTGTGGTCTAAGTTGAGGCTGAGAATGATAAAGTATATGCGATCTTCGTGCAATAGGCTTTTGTCTCTGTAGTGCAAAACATTTGAACGTCGACAGAACTTTTATTATACTCATAGAATACTTAGCTCTTTCTGTCTCATTTCGACCTCAATGATGAGAAACTGAGGAAACATGCAATTTTAAGATTCTTCAAGGTGTGTGTTTGTGTATGAATGCTGGCTTTTGTAAATGAAGCTAAAAGACGTGAGTAGTGTCTGAGCAACTGTTAGGGGGGGGAGAGTAATCACATAATTGATCAGAATAATTTCTGGTGCCATTATATAAGTAAACGTAAGGCGTGGTTGTCTGTCCAGCAATTGGTTTGAGTGCTGGATTCAATTTGAAGAGTATAGAAGTGGAACGAAAACGCTGTTGATTTTATCTGTAGATGTTTTCACTTGGAGATGAATAACCGCTTACATTTAAACATTTGATCCTACCGAGAGATGATTACTAGCCGACGAGATGTTGTAGACTGTTATATGATATCACATAGTGGATATATTTCTATATCCATACGGAACTGAAGTCTCAGAAGTCAAGATTTTTAAACTGCATGAAGTGACGGCATGCATTACTGATGAATTATTCTCGGAATGTCAGCCAATAAGTAATATATATTGTACGTCTGTGTACTACGCAATTAAATAAACGAAGATGGAATCATGCTGTACTCTACTGTACTGTGCCAGAGAATGTTATGCTCTTGTACACGCTTTCTTAACAATGAGATTTGATTTCTGAATAAGAACACAGAGGAGAAAGTAAGATGACAGCAAGGTGATAATAAGTGTCTGCATACTTTGTGTTTCTGGCCACGTGTTAGGCCTACCATTCAGTCTGTTGACATCTAATTTCAGCTTTTCAATAATTATAACAATAATAGTCTGTTTTCATTCCAAAAAACAGTACTGATAATAGAGCATGGAATTTTCAGCATCTGTCGAAATATTGCATCTAATTTACTCAACATATAAGTAAAATTAACCACAGGAACTTTTACACATTTAGAGTAGGAATAATTAATATATTAAATATTCCCGTAGTAAAATTTACAACTACACATTTAAGCGAACAATATTGTGCTTTCAATTAGATCTCATCGGGCTTAACTCTAATATACCTACATAACTTTACAAATAAAAATTCAAATATAAACCAATCATGGTGTTTTGTCTATGAGATGATAAATATAAATTCTGCAATTAATCATAATAGTAGTAATGGTTTTATCAATAACGAGGATGAAAAGGTGAGGCAATCTGTGATAACACGAATAACGAAAAACAGCATGATTAAACAAACAAATGTTCAGGTATACGTAGTAGTCGATAAAGGCTAGTAAAAACAAATGAACCGACTGAGTAATGCTACATTGCAAGGGAAGTAAATGAAACACGTTTTTAGTGAAGATGTGAGAATACTGAGGGATGATAAGAGAGGGGCTGAAAATATAAGTAAGGGGTGGTGGAGAAGTCATCAGTTGGTTAGGTCTTAACAGGCCAATAAGGGAGGGATAATGGCTGTAGGAACTTCTTTTGAATGCATAGTTTAGGTTTACTAGTTCGAATGCCTATAGCCTCAGCTGTGTGCAGTAGGCGAATACTCAGTCCATTGGAAAGATTCGCTGGGATACGATGAATTACCTTGAAAGCTTTCGTTTTCTCCACTACATGACCACTACCAACTAAATGTGATGTGACAAAATTGAGCTACGGATTGTTTTTGTCTGTTCTTTGCCAAACCACGATGAGCGATGTTCACTAACACGTTGGCTAAGCTGTCTAGTAGTACGCCGAACAAAGCTATCACCACAGGTGCAGTTGAATTGATAAATGTACATAGATGTGGCAAAACTATCTAACTTATCCTTCGTTTGCGTCCCAATCATTCGTCGGCTAGAGAATGACAAACATAGGTGTGCTGCGTAAAGTGTTCTTCGTATAC